TTAAGGAAAGAATGTCTCGCCTCCACACAAACCGTTCATTCATTCATCGTAATTTTGATATTGATCAAAATTATATTGTATATGTGTTTTATCATTAATCTAAGCAATATTCAGTTTTGTCTTATCGTAGTTTGTGCTCTTACAGATATAACTATAAACTGTATAAATAAATCTGAATATAACTTTTTTGGTAAAATTTTTGTGATTGGTACAATCTAAAACGTTATAAATTATAAAAAAGTTGTAAACTTTAATAAATTGGTTACCAATCAAAACCAAAAAAAGTCCATCAACGGGTAAATTTTTTCCTATCTTTAAATAAACGATTTATTTTTTCTTACTGTTGAAAAATTTGGGAACACAGAAGAAACAAACAAAAAAGAGATATACCATTAAGGCCAAAAAAGCCCGAAGACAGGGGATGGTGCTGGTCACCGTCAATCCTATTACTAACTAGTATTTTTTTGTTAATGAGTATTAAATATTTCATTCCATATTATTTTGCGTATTTATAGAATCCTATTTCTAAAGTCAGGACTCAGCAGTAATAAAAAGGTGAAAAAACGTCTTGACTTATCTGCGTAATTAATTACTACGTAGCTATCATAAAATGACTAAAATTAGTTATCTAGTATTTTTTTACTAACTAAGAGATTTATTTGTTTAACAACGTAGGCTAATTTTTTACTTTATTTTGTGAGATAGACAACATTTTCTATATTATTTAGAATTTTCAAACACATTCTTTTTGCCTGAACTTCCAAAAACTTAAAACACAGAGACAAATTCTCAGCTGATTACTAAATATATATCACTAACACATTCGTTTTATAATTTATTTTACATTATCAATATAGGTGTGGTCCGATTTACATCCACTTAATGTTTTCATTTACCCCCACTAATTCATAGACGTCGTGTTCTTCAAATTTGTCCATTTCATAAAATAGTAGGGTCAAAAGTTGTGATGATTGGTTTTTGTTAAATGTTTTCAAAAAAAAAAAAAAGTTGTGATGATGAAGTTATGAATGTGTTTGAAGAGCAGGGGTCCTCTATATCATCAAAGAGACATGGACGGTTGTGCTTAAGTTCAAAGAGACAAGATCTCCATTTAAGATCTTTGCGACTATTTTTTAGGGTTTTTGAGATTCAAAGCATGCCTTCTCGACACATCGTGCATTATAATTTCATGATCATGCACACCATTTTTCAAATCTCTTTTTTTTTTTTAGTCAACACCACGATCCTTTGACTCTTGCTTCTCGATCGCTTTACTGATTGTTGTAGATTGCATGTATGTATATTTAGTCTGTTATATTAGTTTCTATACTATAGGTCTGAAATCTCCGGTTATTAAAACTAATGGTAAAGATTTCGAGATCTAGACGTATAAATAACAAAATGTCATGCATGACTATTGTTCAATTAATTAGAAAGATTTTTTCTTTTGGCCATACAATTCATATTTCAAATATGACTCCGTGTTAAGAAAAAATAAGCTATGTGTTATGGATCCTTACAAATATT